CTCAGCAGGCTGAGATCTGAGGATCACATTCAAAGCCAGCCTGGGCAGGAATGTCCTTGAGACTCTTATCCCTAATAAACCACCAGAAAACCAGAAGTGGCATTGTAGCTCAAATGGGAGAGCGCTAGCCTTGAGCTGAAGAGCTCAGGAAATCACCAGCAAAGTAATTTATAATTACCAAGTTTATGATTATATAACATATAAAATTTGTGAGTCTAGTGAACTGCTTGAAGTTACACAAATACTCTTAAAGTTCTTTAAAGAGGGGCTGGGAAGGTAGCTCCATGGTAGTGCTTGCCTTGAGGCCCTGGGTTCTATTCCTCAGCACCACAGAAGCAGAAAAACCCAGAAGTGGTGCTGTGGCTCAAGTGGTTATTATTAAGGTGTTTACTGAAGGGTTACCATTGAACTAAGAAGCTTTAAAGAACTTTTTTTTTTTTTCCGGTCATGGGGCCATAGTTATATTAAAAAAAGATTCTTGTTTCCCATTGTTAGCATACATGCATGGGCCCTACCTGCAGCAGGTACTAGTGATTTCTTAAGAGTAAGAATCATATCAACTTCAATATTTTTCTATCCCAGTATCTGACATATTACAGGTACTCAAAAAGTTGTTGAATAATGCTTTGAAAGAAACACATTCTTTATAGAACACTATATTTTCCAAGACAGTTGGACATATCTCAAACCATTTGGAGAACTAATCATTTCCTAAAATGAAAAGAGTTGTAACGTCCATTTCAAAATAAACCAGATATTTGCTTACATTTTGTTTTGAAGGAAATCTGCTAACAGAGCGTTCCCCGAAGGTCCTGGATCCTGGAGGCTTATTTTTAGGCTGTGGTAATCTAAGGAGAGATTTGAAAAATTCAAAATCCTAAAATGTATTGATAAAATAGATGCTACCACTTAAAAGAATATTTTCCACTTATAACTGAGTTAATAGTTTTAGGGATTCCTGATTTTTACTACCGTTCTACAAAACAATGCAAACTGAATCACCTATAAACATTATTGATCTAGAGTTACTCAAAAGGGGTAGAAAATACAATTTCTGTCAAATTCAGTTCCAAGTTTTGGGGGCAAAGAAGAATAAGGACTATGAAAAGTAAAATGTCAAGGATTTATTTATAAAATGTCATTCACATTTTATTTCTTATTTCCTGTTTCTGGCCTAGCTCTGAAATATTGCTCTGCAAGCTGGTCATGTCTTCTTTCTGCTTCAATAAAGTTTTTCCCTATCAGGATACTGGTAATTCACACTGACATCTCTTGTTCCATGGTTTAAGCTATGAATAGTGAGGCTTTCAGAGCCACCCCTCTCTAGAGTCTGATATGGCTCTCCAACATTAGTCCTCTGCCTTAAGCAACTTTACTCACCAAAAACTACTTCCTTTTTTCCTTATCCTCCTGTAAATATAAATTGGGCCTGTATAAATACTTGTTCCTAATCTACATCTATAATAGTTTTGAATCAAGAGAATCCACCAACTGAGCCCTCTCTCAAGTTGTAACCAGACTCTAATTTCCTTCACAACTATCCTTTTGCTGTGGCAGGTTTGCTGTCTTGGAACTTCTACACAGAACTGCAGATAGGTAGAACTTTGGTAATTAGCTCCTGGTTACAGGGTCAAATAGGTTGTCAGTGGCAGAGCTAGGACTGGAACCTTGACCATCTGGTCAGCAAGCTGTGTTCTTCCCAAACTGTCAATCACCTTGAGTCCTGCAAGCACCTCCATTGATCCTGTGGCACTGTGACAACATGCATTCTTCCCAATATTATTTTAATTAAATATTTCCTTACCCATAATTTTCTTGGTTTCCATCTTCATAAATAGGGATAGCAGATGACAAAGACATAATCTTATTGATCCCCCAAGCCCCAGAAGACGCTGCATTTTCTGCAAGAGAATAAAAAAATAATATTTTATTATTGTCCTAGGGGAGGAAAAATATCACTATCCTTTACATTAGACATTAACTATAAATAAGAAGAAACAGCTTACATAAAAAGAACTGGTATCAGTTTTAATAATACTAATTAGTACAGGAAGTCACTTTGAAGTGAAATGAAGTGACTTAACTATGGTCACTGGGTCATAAATTCCTTTCGTACATAAATAAAAGTATTGGTCATTTTCCTGCAGCACTGCTAAAGACATTGAATTATTCAACAAAAGCTCCCAGTGTTTTTTTTTTTTTCATTTCCTTTATGAAATAAACTATCAGCTTGTATTTCTAGCCCTCCTAAATCTAACTAGATCTTGCAAATAATTATGGTGACCTGTAGCTCCTAGCATGGGCTCCAACATTCCACTTGGCCATTTCTCTACCACAACCAGCTCAAATCACATCTCTTTCTGACCATTTCTAACTATGGGGATTATGTCCTTCTTTAGCACTGCTATATTTAAAAAAAAAAATCTATCACTCACACTGTCTGTCACCTTATCAAATTGTCATATTTTTATTTCATGTGTTCCCTATCCTCTTACATAATCCTTCATAACACCTTTGGTAGCCCCCATGATGCTATGTACTTAGTAAGTTTTAAACCAATTGTTACTTTGAAACTGGGCTTCAAATTCATCTTCATTTTGATCTAGTGATGTCCATTCATCTTTGTCATCAAAAACGTCAGGAATTGTAGGAGCCTGAAATATGTTCATGATGAAACCTTAAAGAACAAAAAGAATATTTGTCAAGAGGTGACAAAAGAGCTTTCCTTAATTTGTTATAGGTATCACACACAAAATTATTTACTTTACCTAATGCTTCCTTGGTATGCACAGTGGGTGACGGCTGCACTTTGGATGGTGTTGCTTGAACCATTCCTAGTGAGGTGTTTGGAGTTGTGTGAAATGAACTTACACTAGCCACCTTCTGTATTTCACATGCTAGCAAAGGAATGAATCAAAATGTACTGTCAGTAGACCAATCAGAATACAATGGAAGGCACATTGAGGAACTCAGTACAATCAACAAGCTTATCACAGTCATTAATAACTAAAATTATTTATTGTTTTCATATACTTGGTACTTATCTTTGTAATAGTACTATGCAGTTGGTATGGTGAGGAATATCCTTTTACAGAAAGCAAAATGAAGGCTCAGGGATGAGCCATCTGTTCTGTGAATAACCCATTTAGCAGTTTTGTCATAAATAGCATCCTCAGCTTTCCTGTATCATAAAACTACTTGCTTATGGTTATGCTCTAAATCTTTACTCTTAACACTGTATCTCTTAAGATTTGCTTCCATCTCACTCAGTTGGAGTCAGACAACGGTGTAAAAAGCTCTGATCAGCCCAACCTGTTTGCATAGGTCTTATGCAACTTCTTCTTCCTTCCCCTGCTCACCCTATAGGTGAGAAGTGTCTTTACTGAACTTAGAACATACCAGAGGCTTTCCTGAGGGCTCTGTGCTTGCTACTCCTTCTGCCTAAAACAGACTTGTCAATTTAGCTATATGGATAACTCCTATCTCTAGTCATTCATTATTACCTTCTCAGAAATCCAACCTCAGTATTAATATAGTGTCCCTTACTATATCGGGGTTCACTTATTGTGGCTTCACTGTATTACAGGTTAAAAAATATATATCTAATTTGGTAGAGTTTTTACCATATCGTAGGATTTTGCATTATATAGGTATTTACATAAGTTATTTTAATTATTTTTGTGCAAATATTTTAAACAATGTAACACTATAAAACGTATTAAGATAATAATAAATTGAAATACAATATGTATTTCATCAGTGGATGAAAACTACTGTACACAATGGAAATGCAGTAAGCCATTACTGTGTGTGCAAGTTTGCCAATGTGAGATTGTACATGGCACACTACTGGCTGATGAAATGGAAGGTGACCAACCACAGCACTGGATGCTGATTGGCTCAGTGACTGTAGCATTGGTCTGTTTGGTCTCCCATATTGTGTCGATACATTAAGCATCTCTCCCTGTCCACTTCACATCAACAAACTGATTACTACACATAGTGTTGCTCTGCCATGGTGTGAAATTTTCATAGGCACATCAACAAATTGATTACTATACATGTGTTGCTCTGCCATGGTATGAAATTTTCATAGAAGTTTGAATTTATTTCAAGCCCCATGATACCACCTAAACATTCTGTGTCTTTGCTTCCGGGAGCCAACCCAAGTGCTAGAGAAAGATGTTTACCATCAAAGGAAAGGTGGAACTTCTGGACAGGTTAAAGGAAGGAAAAAGCTATGCCGCTGTAGGCCGCCATTACGGGATCAACAAATCTACTGCTGGCTATGTAAAGACAAGAAGAACATCAGTTTTGCAGCAACAACGACTTTTAACAAGATTGCAAAGAGGGTGGTCACTTCCTCCAATCAGGCCATTGTGAGGGTGGAGTCTGCATTGGCCTTGTGGATAAATGACTGCAGCAAGAAGAAGATCTCACTGGACACCAACACCATCTGGACAAAGGCCAAGAAACTTTATGATCGTTCTGCAGAAAGCATGGATGTTCACGATGATGACAAGGATGACGATGTAGAAGCAGGACTGTCAAGTGTTTCTCCCATCAGATCAACCCCAGTCAGTGCCAGCAAGGGTTGGTTTGACAAATTTCAAAGATGCTTTAGACTCAAGAGCATTTCTCTGCATGGAGAAGCTGCTTCTGTAGATAAAGCTGGAGCCAGGTATATGTGAATATGTTCAAATCCATCATCAAGGAAAGGGGCTATAAGCCTGAACAAGGTTTCTTTTCTTTTTGGTCAGTCATGGGGCTGGAATTCTGGGCCCGGACACTGTCCCTCAGCTCTTCAGCTCAAGGCTAGCCGTCTACCACTTGAGCCACAGTGTCACTTTGGGCCTTTTCTGTTTATGTGGTGCTGAGGAATTGAACTCAAGGCCTCATGAATGTGAGGCGTTACCACTGAGACACCTTTCAAGCTCCTAAACACGTTCTTACATAGATGGGACAGGCTCATTTTGGAAACGAATTCCATCTCACACTTTTATTATGAAGGATGAAGTCAAAGCCCCTAATTTAAAGGCCCCAAAAGATTGAGTAACTCTGATTACATGTGGGAATGCATTTATTTTAAGTCTCAAAACCCAAGGTCCCTATAAAACAAGAATAAGAATGTGTTGCCTGTGTATTGGATGCACAACTCCAAGGCCTGGATCATGAAACTCACAGCTGATTGGTTCTACCAGTGATTTATCCCGGAGGTTAAGCTTTATCTGGCAGAGAAAAACAAAGTGCTTCTGACCGTGGGCAATGCTGGAGGAGGCCATGCTGTCGAACTGTCATATAATGGCATCCAGATAAGAGTTTTTGCTACCAAATTCCACATAGCTCATTCAGCTTGTGGATCAAGGTATTACGTCCACTTTTAAGTTGCTCTACATGTGAAATGCCCTGTAAAACTTAATTGAAGGTGTGGATGCAAGTGAACACTTCTTGTTAAAGGCTTATTTGTATCATGGCTCCTAAATATTCAGAAGGTCATAAAGGAGATGAAGAGTGAAACAGTAAATGCCAGCTGGAAAAATTCGTGACCAGAAGTGGTCCATGATTATAAGGAATTCTCCCCATGAAGTCCATCACTCTGCCGTAGCAAAGGCTGTGAAGCTGGCAAAACTACTAGGAGATGGTTTAAAAGATATGACATGAATGACCTGATCAATATCCACTCAGAACCATTGACAGATGAAGATCTGATGGAGAGGACAAAGTCATCAAGCGAAGAGGATGAGGAACAAGATGAACTAAAGGTTGGAGAAGAGAAGGTTGGCCTCATACTTGATCGTCTTGCAACTATGGATGGGATGGCCAAGAACTTCAGCAAGTAGCTGAAGAATGGGATCTCCATATGCTTCATTTGTTGCACTTCATAAATACAATTGAGAGTGGCATGTCAGATAATGACAGAAATGTTTTTTCTTGCTTGCTATTGTTTCTAACATGTTTATGAGATATTTCTTTGTTGATTTGTATGTCCCTCCCCCACAGTATAACCCCTGTTTTCATTGTATTTGATGTTGGTATAATTTGTGGAGGGGAAGGGAAAAACGAATTGTTTAAATAGGGATACAGGTGGACCCACTGCAACAATGAGATGTGCAAGATGTTATGTCAAAAATGAACTTTACAACTTTGGCTCAGGAGTGGGTGAGGGAGGGGGGTGATGATGAGAAGGGATGGGAAGGGGAAACAAAGGAGGAGGCAAACAAAGAAGGGAGCAACAATGCTTGATAAGAAATGTACTCATTACCTTGCTCGTGTAATTGTAACCCCTCTGTATGGTATTTTCACAATGAAAAGAGAAAAAAACCTCACTCAGAAGAAAAAGAAGTGCCAGCAACTCTCCATAACTATGTTCGTCACTCAGACAAAAAGTTACGCCTATGCCTTTAACAGAAATAGAAGTTACGGCCCAGGGTGAAAATACCGCACCACCTGATGAAGTGGTACCTTCAGAAGAGCTGTAATGCTCTTCTTGGCTGTGCAGTATTCATCTCATTGGTATCACCTTCACCGCCATCAGCACTGCACAACTACATAATTCATGATCTTCATTGTTCAAGTTGTAGTATACTTCACTGACAGTACTCATAGAATTTTGTATGTTGTTAAAATTTCATAAGTTAAAAACTGTAGTAAGTGTTTAAGAGTATATGAATTATTTATAAGAGTGTGAGAAACGTTAATAAGAAAGTGGGAAAGGTTTATAGGAGAGTAGGGTTTATAAAGCCTTAAAATATATAAATCATAAAATAAATATAATGCTGCTACTTCATGTATTGTCACCTATTGCAGGGGTCTCTGGAATGTAATTCCCACAATAGGTGAGGGATCATTGTACTTCCTGTCCTGGGAGACTTTCACTGTACTGTTCACAGCTACCTCTCTGAGTACTCAGTACAATGCCTGGTGTCTGGGGAACAGGCACCATATCTTGGTGCAATCAACAAGTCTCAGCTATTTGGTGTAATGGTCAGCTGTTTCAAGAAGCCCGTTTCCACAAATGGTCAGTGGATAATCATGCTATCTTCATATGGAGGAAAAGTTCAAATGTCCTAATATCCAAATGAGACCTATTAATGTATACAACTTATCATCAATCAGCTATGCAAATGCCTCCAGTAGAGTAGCAAATAGGATTATATAGTATTAAACACTGAATTACTTTTCCCAACTAACACACTAAAGATGACAATCATTTTAGATTAAGATGCTGCTAATAGAAGTTTTCATAAATTAGGTTTTTGTTTGTATGTGTGTTTGTTTTTGTTGGCCATGGGGACTGAACTCTGGGCCTGGATGCTGTCCCTCAGATCTTCTGCTCAAGGCTAGCACTGTACCACTTGAGCCAAGCACCACTTCTGGCATTTTCTGTTTATGTGGTGCTGAGGAATCAGACCCAGGGCCTCATGCATGCAAGGCAAGCATTCTACCAATGAGCCACTTTCCTGGCCCCAATAAATTAGGTTTTCAAAGGATTCTGCATTATGAAGAAGTGGATTTCTACTTTGATTTGAAATGGTCTGGGGCTCTGCTCTCTAATAACAAGCTTGCTAAACTTAGGTTTAGTAAGGTCTGTCTGAAGCTTTCCAAAAGCACAGCTACAACACAGACAATGAGTAACCAAGAGAAATCTGCCCAAGCAAGTCAGGATGAAGTTGTTATAATGAAACACACCTTCTTTCATTTCAGTCCCAATCTGTGGCTTGAACTCATGAGTACTCTGATTCATACATCTGCAAAAGAAAGTACTTGAGATATGTTGAAGAATAAAACTACATATATACCTTTTGCCTAATTCTCAAGAAATAATAGTAAAAGAAATTAGGCAACAATTATAAGCCCGTGGTTAAAACACAGATAGAACTCTAGGTCCATGTTATGAGTCAATGTTATTTTTTTTTCCTTTCAGATATTTTTCCTTTCAGTTAAAGAAAATCTTACAAATAAATCCAGGTACTGATACTTGTGTAAATTACTGATTCTGAATTTTAGCACCATAATAACCATCTCTTTATGTGTCAGGATAGCGTAACATCTTCTCTAATTTAAATGCATTCATTTATAGTATAGGTTAAATGTAACATCCAGTTCCAAGCACCTGAAACAGGGGAAGCTCTGGTGTTTCAGTGATGAGCCTACAGTCACAAAATAATGTCCGGATTAAAAATAACAGCTACCAAGGAAGAAAGCAAAATGTATGCAAACCAGAGCTTGTTTGAAAAGTATACTTGGGGCAATGGATCTCATCTACTACTTCTAGAATTCCCATAAAGGAACCTTAAAATGTTAACTAAAACTTCTTAAGAAATTTGAATTTTACACATTCTTATCAAATCACGAGTTAAAAGACTTCTGCATTGCTGAAGATATAAATGTAAAACAAACAACTGATATGAACTTTCAATTTCTGCAATGTAGAAAACTTCTGCAAAATTGGGGAGAAGATCTTCAGAGCAATGTGAGGGTAAATCTTGGCATATAGTCATAGACAATGATACCAAATTGTTTCCAGTGGGAGGACAGAAGGACTGAGAAAACATGGCAAGTAACTATCTGGATAGTAATAGTATCTGCAATTCCACAGTTAAAGGTAAGTTCAGTTTGCAGCTGTATATTTTTCAAGTGTAAGAGATTTAGGTTTCAAGGAAATGGAAATTGTAATTCAAGAGAAAAGCGTGAAATGAAACAACTTTTCTAAAGAAGCATGTCATAAAGTAAGTGTGACGGATTTGGGGCGTTTTTAAACAACATACTTGCTCCCAAAACTATTTTTAAAAAAGTAAGAATCCTTCATTTTCAAATACTGTTCTTGATATTGTGGATCATGAAAAGAGACTGACAAATGCCATTTAAATAACTGATACCTTCAGGACTACCTCGGGCTTACCTGGAGTCTGTCATTGACTGGGCCTTTAAAGGAACAGGAGGAGCTACACTCTGGCTGATGGCTGGGGACACCAAAGTAGCAGTAATAGTAGTTGCTGCAAGAGGGACAACAGGTGGTGGCTCTTTAGGGTTCTCTGAGTTCTTTAAGGACTGATGACTGATGGCTGGAAGATTTGGAGCTCTCACTTCCCGCTGGAAGTCTACACTTGGCCCCATACATGCTGGAGTGACCTATCATGTCAAGCAAAAAACAAAACAAAACAAACAAAACCCCCCCAGGATATTACTAATCAAGCACTAGAGCTTTCTGAAGCAAAGTGTATAGATTTCTTTCCCTTTGAAGCATACCTTACCACTTCAGGTATTTTAAAATGAAGCCTGCTACAAAAAAATGAAGAAGCTACAAAGGATTTGTAGCTTCTGAACATGGACACAACCCACAGCTCAAATTTCTAACCACAAGAAAGTAAACAGCATTTATAATATATCAGTATTTTAAAACTATCTTCCCTCTCTGTACTTAATTTGAGAAACTCACCAACGAATCAATGCAAATGCTCACAATTGTGTCCATTTTCTATTCAATAAATAGGTATTTATGGAAAGGATAACAAGCTCTATACTTAAAAATCTTTGCTTCTCTACTATATGTACACAGAACTTAGGCAATGTTACAAAGTTAAAGAGAGAGGGTTAATTCAAAATATTCTTGTTAAAAATAACCAACAGAATAAAAAAAAAACCAACTGGGTGCTAGTGGCTCACACCTGTAATCTTAGCTACTCAGGAGGCTGAGATTTGAGGATCATTGTTGGAAGCCAGCCCAGGCAGAAAAGTCCTTAATCTCTTATCTCCAATTAACCACTCAAAAACTGGAAGTAGTGCTGTGGCTCAAGTGTTAGAGAGCTCGCCTTGAGCACAAAGAGACTCAGGGACAGTGCCCAGGTTCTAAATTCAAACCCCACAAAACAAAAACAAACATCAAATATCTAGGGTAAAAATGTTATTTCACAGAAAACTGGATAAAATATAAGAAGTTCATCCTTCCTAGTCATCAAAAAGGGTAACTTAAAATAACTTATACTACTTTCTCACCTAACAGAATCATAAAGATAAAAAATCATAATACAATTCCTTATCTGAAATATTTTGAACTCAAAGTATTTCAGAATTTTTCAGATTTTAGAATATTTGCTTAGACTTACTAGTTGAACACCCCTGATTCAAACATCTGAAGTCCCAAAATACTCTGAAATTCTAAACTTCAGTACTAGCTGGCTATGTATGATGATCAAAGTTTCAGATTTAGAGTTTTTCAGATTTTAGATTTTTAGATTATAGATGATCTATTATAGATGATCTACCAGTATTCAATCTGAGTAAATATTTTTAAGAAGAAAAAGCAAGAGATGTACTGTACCAGATATCAAAAATAAACAAGAAAGCTATAGGAAATATACAGTATGAAATAATAAAAAAGCTCTATTGACAAAAATAAGGGTATATTTTAGAAATGGATTCTTCAAATATAAAGATTTGGCATGAGAGAATTTTGATAAGGTTTTTGCCTATACTGGTCAACCCATTTGGACAATATATCTCTATACCACTGTATAGACAAATTCCATAAAGCTTTTGGCTTAGGACAGGAGATTAAGCATATGATTTATAATCTACTCTCAACCAGACCTCAGAGAAATGTTAACACCTAAATAGCTGCTGGACTGGTCTAGGGTTCCCTGGTCTCTAGAATGCATTAAGTATTTCTGTTGAGAAAAAAAAACAACACCCTTAAAAACAACTATTGTAGGTAGATACAGCTATTTATCTTCATGTTCCACCTGAAAAGGAGATGGGAGGTTGGTATCTGGAGAATTGTTCAAGAAGACTCTAGACTACTAGACTACAAAAGAGGGTGTAATGGATACTATGGACTAAAAGTATCATATGTACAAGAATGCTCACTGCAACATGCTCTGTAACAGCTGCTATAGGACATATGTGTCCTGTAAGGAATGACAGAAGACTGTACTATAATATGCGTTGGATCTCTATGCAAGTGAAAGGCCTACAAGATGTGCTAGGTTCAAAAAAGCAGAAAATAAGTCTTCTTTAAGCTGAAATGTCACAGCAAAACACAAACCACAGCAGTATCAGTGAAGAACATCCACTGATACATATATATGTGTATAAATCCATGTATATACATACATGTTCACTAACATGTTCTTCCTAAAAAGATACAAGCTTAAATAAATATACCTATAGCATATTTTTATTAGATTTAAAATAAATCATATATATAAAATATATATGTACATATACATATATAAATATATATATATATATATATTTTTTTTTTTTTGTGGGTCCTGGGGCTTGATTTCAGGGGATAGGTACTGTCCCTTTATCTTTTGTGCTCAAGGCTACTGCTCTACCATTTGAGTCACAGCTCTACTTCAGGCTTTTTTTGGTGGTTAATTGGAGATAAGAGTCTCATGGACTTTCCTACCTGGGCTGGCTTCAAACTGTGATCCTTAGATTTCAAACTCCTGAGTATCTAGGATTATAGATGTGAGCCACCAGCACCTGGCTATATTTTAAAAATAATTTCAAAATATTCTTAAAGAAGGCATTTGATTATCACAGTATTCTTTTTCATGGACAGGAACTCATTATGTGAAAGATTAAGCAAACATTATGAGCTTTAAATTAATACTCAGTAATTACAAACACCACTAGGTGGGTTACAGTCTTCACTGGAAAAGAGCAGGGACATACCTCAGACCTTTCCGGAAAAGCAGAGGGGTCCTGGTGGGATGGCTCCCCGACTTGGTGTAATTTTTTGTGAAGCTCATCCATTTTCTTTTTTAATAATTGTTCTTCAAAAGCGCTAGCCTCCTTGCTCTTCATATAATGTTTGTCTTCATTTACTTTAGAAAAGAGAGTTTGTTTACAAAGCTTAAATCCAGGTCCTCAGAGGAATATATATAAAATGAGTAAAAGGTCCTATTTTAGGATGGCATTGTCATGCTCATATTTATTAAGTTGGAGCACTGAAAACTGTAGTTACCTTTTATTTTTTTAGTCAGTCCTGGGGCCTGAATTCTGGGCCTGGGCGCTGTCCCTCAGCTCTTCAGCTCAAGGAGAGCGCTCTACCACTTTGAGTCACAGCGCCACTTCCAGGTTTTTCTGCTTATGTGGTGCTGCCGAACAGAATCCAGGGCCTCATGCATGCAAGGCAAGCACTCAACCACTGAGCCACCTTCCCAGACCATGTATTTACTGTTTAGTTATAACCTTTATCTATTGCCAGCATGGTTACTATTATATTCAGGGCATATATGAATTGTAAGGAATTGACGTGGTGATCAACAATATTATTTGATATTAGCCCAGTATAATACCCAATACTTTTTATAAGCAATCATGACTTTGAAAATGATTTTTCATTTCAGTTTTTCAAAGACAAACTTCAAGCAACATGTTGAACTGAAACCTCTATGTATAACTACTTAAAGATAATAATAATACAAAGAACTCTCCAAGTACTTTTGTGAAGTACATTAAAGTGCATGGAGCACATTATGATCAGCTTACTTAGCCATACCACAGCCTGACTGGAGACTTACACCTATCTATGCGCAGCTCAAAATGGGTCCAGTCCTGTATAAAGTAGGAATTGATCATTCTCTTGGTTGTTGATCCAACATAAATAATATTCTCACAGAATGGTTATAGTCTCAGCTATGTAGTAGAGAATCTTGAGTGGAAGATTCATTTTCCTAGGGTCTATGTTGTTATAATAAGAGCCAACTCTATTAAGGTATACATTAGTGAGGAACTAAACTTAGCCCTCTCTCTAGCCATAAATAATATGGCACATTGATCAGAGAACTCCTTTTGTTTCATTTGTTTAAAGTAGGTAAAGAACTTGGAAAAATCTCTTCTGAACTTTCATTTCCAATCTAATCCTGTCATAGTATAAGTAAGTGGGCCTGCAAATTTGGAACTGCTGTACAGAAGTACAAATCCATACAGATCATACTGAAAAACGTTAATGACAAAGATTCTTGTGCAGTGTTCTCTCTACATGAGCAATGCTGCGAAGACAAGGACTGAATCACCATACAAGCATGGCTGCCATGTTCATGTTTAGCAAAGATTTCCAAGCCTCTTACAGATAAGCTACACACATTTTCTGCAATATGTCAGCATTGTCAATTATTTGATGAAAAATGCAATTACCATTTTAAATGACATACAAATAACTCAAAATATGAGATACAAGTACCCCATTGTTCATGCTTCCTTCTTTGATTGTATTTCTGTGCTCTCAGCTCCTCAAAGGAAAATTCTGAGTCTCCACGAATAAGCTTCTCCTTGCAGTACATAACGACCTGCTGCACATCAGCGCTGGCTGCCGAAGATGAGTTTGTAGAGCATTCTGATTTAGAAATCATGAGTACCCTTTGTTACCAACAAGGGAAAAAGACAACATTTACAATACTGGAAATTTACACTCTGAAAGGAAACTAAGTAATAGAGCAATGATTATACTTGCATATTTGGCTCTTTGTTACAAGCTGAGGATATTGCTCCAGAGACTTCAGAACTCTAAGAGACAGAAAACAAACATAAGTGACCTTTACTACAAACAACACCGGCACAAAAAAAAAAACAAAGTCAACTTCATCCCAAATCAATATGAAAATGTTTCGGTGGAAGGGCCTGGACTCAAATAGATTTATACATGTGCTATATTATGATTAACAGCTGAAGCTTTAGTTTGCAACACTATCATAACTTTTCCTAATTAAAAACTCACCAAGAACAAAACATATAAAACTGAGCAATTATGTTAATCCTCAATAAATCCTAGTACACTTGGAGACAGAGACCGGAAAACCTCAAGGTTTGAAAGACTCCATCTCAAGTAATGGGTAGGTAGAGTAGCATGCACTATTATCTCAGCTACAGGGGAAGCACAATGGCTAGGCACAGGGCAGGGGAATTCTTGGTAGGGCAAAAAGCTCCATGGGAATAAAAATCAGGCATGGCAGAGAAAGACAAAGTTACACTTATTGGTTGGTGCTGATGGCAGATGAAAAGGTATCATTTGATGCTTCTGAAGAAATAGTATTTTTTCCAGTGCATAAGAATAAAGTTAATGGAAGATAGGTCTCAAGTTTGAGAAGAGCTAAAAGAAATCTAGAGAAGAGTGAAAAGATGTTTAAATCTCTATAATTAGGCCTTAAAGGGTAAACTGGGAAACCTAACAGATACACAAGACATAATGAGTGAGCTGGGACACTGGAAGGAGAGTCCTGGTTGAGGTTATGGGCACCAAGACTTTTTATTTTTTTCAGCAAGGCTCAGTAACCTCCAGTTAGAAGCGACTCAAAATAGGGATTTCTTTGGCCAGTGAAAGAAACTGCGAGAGAGAGAAGGCCACTGACAGATAAGGAAGTGAGAACAGGAGTTGTGTGGTGGGGATCCCTGGGTCTGATGACTACTAATATGAGTTGACCAGACGTAGATGACAATAGGCCAAGGAAGCTGCATGAAGGTTTAGTGACAGGAGTCAAGGTCAAAGAAAAGAGATGCCCAAGGGGATATAGAAAGTAGTCAAGATGGTCTGTTTAGTACATTCCTAGTTTTCATACAACTTAAAAATGTCTTTATTACCTGACTCTTAGAAACATAGGCTGGGTTTTTTTCTGGACTGGATTTTGATGCTATTGCTTGGTTTAAAATCTGGGCATTTTGCAGAGGTTCTGAGGTTCCAGCTATGAGATGAGACAAAGTACGGAAAAAATATTAAAATACTGTATAATACATTCCCTTGCTCATTCATTCAATGCACTCACATTTTTCTCAGAAAATGGAAGTAAAACATTTTTTAAATCCAAATATTATACAAACAATTTTCCTACCAATTAAAAACACCCAAAAAAGTATAGGAAAGAAACATAAAACCTTGCTGAGTGCCAATGGCTCATACCTAGGAGGCTGAGATCTAATGATCGCAGGTTGAAGGAAAGTCCCTGAGACTTTTATCTTCAATTAATCACCAAAAAGGTAGAAGTGGGGCTGTGGCTCAAGTGATAGAGTGCTAGTCTTGAGCAAAAAAGCTCAGAAACAGTGCCCTGAGTTCAAGCCCCAGTATAAACACACACCAAACATATCATCTTCCTTCCCCCAACACACATATTTTTATTCTATAGGAAAAAAAGGGATCATATTTCCTAAATAGATAGATACACATAGATGTAATTTAGAACAGAGTCTAGAATCTATTTTGGAAACTTTTCACTTTTTGAAACAGTATCCCTATGTTGCTCAAACTTCAGTTTCCTCCTTTGGCCATTCAAGTGTTGAAATCATTGGGATTACAGGAGTAATCTACCATACCTGACAATATCTTTTATGTATATATGTATGTATGTATGTATGTATGTATGTATCTATGTATTTATTTTGGTCAGTCCTGGGGCTAGAACTCTGGGCTTGGGTGCTGTCCCTACGCTCATCAGCTCAAGGCAAGCACTCTATCGCATGAGCCACCGCACCACTTCTGGTTTTTTAGTGGTTTATTGGAGATAAGTGTCTTATGGACTTTCCTGCCTGGGCTGGCACTGAACCATGATCCTCAGATCTCAGCCTCCTGAATAGCTAGGATTACAGGCATGAGCCATCAGTGCCCAGCTCTGACAACATCTTTTAAATACCTCCCTGTCTCACTTGTTGTAACAGAATGAAAACTTCAAGCTTTGCTTTTAAGTTTGCTCTATTAAAGTGGTAAGATAAGTAAGACAGAAGTCTTGGTCCTAGGGCTATTTATAGGCTTTATTATTATTACAGTGCTATCCCCATGACCCAAGACAGTAGAGTATGGTTTTCAGTAAATAGTAGATATATATATATTTTTTAAGACGAAGAAAAATCAGTGAAAATTAAGAGACTCAATTATTAACAATCTAGACCTTTTAGAAAGGATTATTTACCTTGAGCTGGCAAACGCGATTCAGTAAGGCGAGCCTGAAATAACCTAAATGATGGTAGAAAAGATGTCAACGTAGATTATAAATTTAAAGTTGAATACATATATATATTCAAACAGAAACTAAATATAAGCCTGTGAACACTGAGGATGAAAAAGAACATAAAATGGAATATGAGTTGCTTCAAAATTAAGGAATAAAATTCAGAGTGTATATTCATATCTAAAATATCTAGTAGAAAATGTCCTTGCTGTGAGCAGAGGCTATCACCTGGAATCCTAGATACTCAGGAGGCTGAGACCCGAGGTTCACAGTTTAAAGCCAGCCCAGGCAGATAGGTTCATGAGACCCTAACTACCAAAAAGTCAAAAATAGAGCCTGTGGCTCAAGTTGTAGAGCACTAGCCTTGAGCAAAAAAGGTCAGGGAGTGTCCAAACCTTGAGTTTGAGCCTCAGGACCAGCATATACACACACACAAAAGTCATCCTTTTGCCCAGGTTAAGTCTACATTTCTCAAATCCACATAAGATATATACTTTTTCCATGTCTGAAGTCTGCAAATATAACCCAGGGTGTTTGAACTCCTACTTTAGCTATTTTGTACATTTGTAACAAAATGAATATAATGTTTTGAAGAAAGAACTGAAAGTATAAAACTTCAAAAGGCAGACAGATTAATACTGTTCAGGCAATGAGAAGTTCTCAGATATGTCATTTCATGGCACTTTTACATATCAACTTTCAAAAATGTATAGCTCCCAAGCTGAGCAAGAGTATATATGAAGGTTGTAAGGAAGAGATATACAACAAAATGCTAAACACAGCTTAGCTCTTAATTTAAACAAATCAATTGAAACCAAACCTTTTTACATGATGGGGAAAGACAGAAAATTAGATGATATTAAAGAATTGTTATTTTTATTAAATGATTATGGAGTAAAAGTTGTAAGAAATAATCTTTTGGAGATATTTATGTGGTAGAGTTTGAGGCAAAATATCTGCTGCTCTGGAGCTGCTTTAAAATTCATCAGCACAGAAAAAATTGACAAAACGTTAATAATTATTGAAAGAATGTGCTGTATAAATGGAGGTTTCTTAATTTTTTAATTTTATTTATTGTAAAGATGCTGTACAGAGGGGTTGCATTTACATGAGTAAGGGAATGAGTACATATCTTGTTGAGCATTGTTACCCCTTCCTTTGTTCTCCCACTATCCCTTCCCTCTCTCTCCCCTCCATCCCCATCTCATCCCCCCCCCCCCACAAAGTTGTAAAGTTGAATTCCAATATACTGTCTTGTGGGTATCATAGTTGCCATGTGTCATTAAATGGTGGTTTATATACTAATTTTTCTTTTTCATGTTTTTGAAATTTTTATAATAAAAATATTTAAGTACAAATACTATAGCAAAGTATTCTTTTTTTTTTTTTTGCTGGTTGTGGGGCCTGAACTCTGGGTCTGTGCGCTGTCCCACAATTGTCACTACAATGATAATAGTAATATTTCTGGGCAATTTCTTTTCTGTATACTATTCTATATTGAGCACATTTCCCACAGGAAGGATTTCCCACTAAAATGGATAGCACAAAATTCTTCTTTTTTCTTTTTTTAAATTGTTGTTGATTGTGGGGCTTGAACTCAGGGCCTGGGCACTGTCCCTGAGCTCTTTGGCCCATAGCTTGTGCTCTACTACTCTGAGACACAGTATCACTTTCAATAGCATAAGTGTTTTAAAAGCAAATATTCCATTCTTATTTTGAAACTACCTGTACTGTTGTTGCAGTAGTTCTCTAGGTTCAGCTTGGTTCTGAATTCCTCTCCGAAAAACAGCACTGGCATGCTGCAGTTCTCCCAGGGCTTCTAGATGTCCCGCCCAGAAAATGTACAGAGGAGATGACAGGGTTCCAATTCCCTGGTTGTACAGAAACTCAAAAAACTGATGGAGGTCATTGTTGTACTCAGCCTATAGGAACCCAGACCAAAAACATATAAGACAAGTGAGGTGGGGTGACTGAGAAGAGGTTACCAGGTATATGGGCTGTTGGACAGGGAAGGAGTAACTTCTAATAATGAGTAACAGCAGGGTATCCTAGTAACAGGGTAATTTTGTGTTTCAAAATAGCTAGAGAAGATTCTTAATGTTCCCAAAACAAAGAAATGATAAGCAACTGAGGTGATGGATATGTACTTAGCCTGTGCGGATCATTACACATTACATGTATATATTGAAATATCTATCATACTGCATTTCATAAACACATGTAATTACTCTGCATAAAAGTATGTAAATAAAGACACTAGGAACACTAAATCAATCTATAATAATATATAAGGACAATGAAATTATTAGTATAGGTCAGGTCCAGAATCTAGATAGCCCTCCACTGTTCAGTCCTCATAAAGGACTGAGGATAGACATTGCATAGGTAAAGGTGTGTACAGTTCTGACAGCAAACCAAAAAGTTAGGTTCTTTCCTTTCCTTAACATTCAATATTCTTAAAATTATCTGTACTATTTTCTAAGTTAGTGAGTCGTTGATAATATTATTACATCCAATATTACTTTTCTCTTAATCTGAGCTTAATCTCTTAATCTAAGCTCCAGAGAGCTTATTTTATAACTTAGTGAACAAGTTCATGTTTACTCTTATTCACTCCATATGTGATTTCTATTACTAGAGCCCATGTTCCAAGCTTTTATTCCAGGCTTTGTCCCAACCTCTTAAAGCCTGACTTAGCTTATCTTTTTAGTACTAAATTTAGTCTTTGAGAGGTAAAGTTTTCATTATTGTATAAATTTAATTTGCTCCCAGAGGCCTGTTAGTACCTGGTAGTTTCTGCTTATCTTCCCCTCACCAAACATTTCTTACCCAACATACATTCTACTTTTTTAAGCTTTCAGTTTCTGTCTCATGCTGGAACACTTGCAGATTTGAAATGAAGACTATGTTTTTAAAATTAAATCACTGTCTAAATACAGTGCATTTTCTTTCTAAAATGAACACTTCTACCCATAAAATTTTTTAAAAAAAGACTGGATACAAGGAAGTTAAATAAAATACCAGCACCAAACAATCTTAAGATCTAGGGAAAAACAAAACAAAACAAAAGAACATGATTTTGATCTGATTAGCCATCTGATAGTATACTTACAAATTTTAAGCAATAATTGATGAATCTTGGGTCATTGTGGTATTTCTTCACATCTAAAAATTCCTTCATTAAATGTTCTAATGACAGTATCAAGTAGTCTTTATTATCAGGAAAATTCTCTTCTATCCACTGCAAGTAGCTAGAAAGACACAGATAATGTTAGTTTTCAGTAGAGTAGCATATAGTTGGTGTCAAGGGAAAAAGTAAAGTAAATGCTGACCTTTCCCATTCTCCAAGTGGGTCACTGCCTTTGTAGTTTCGCATATGGGCTTCAAACATTCTAGAACAGTGAAAGGCACATATGTGAGATACTGAAGATAATTCTTAAGAGCAAAAAAAGAAAAAATTGGAATCTCATTTATATCTCTTAACATAAAAAACAAATTATCAACCCAAATGCTATAGTATAAAATTTGAAACAACATTCACTCAGAAGTAGTTAGAAAACTCAGAAGCCGTTTCCTGATGAAAGTTCATCTCTAGCTCTATCCCTGCCTCTCCTTCACCTGGTCCCAGTGGCATAGCTTTTTTTTTTTTTTTTCAGTCGTGGGGCCTGAACTCTGGGCCTGGGTGTTGTCCCTCAGCTCTTCAGCTCAAGGCTAGTGCTCTACCACTTGAGTCACAGAGCCACTTTCAGCTTTATCTGTTTATGTGGTGCTGAGGAATCAAACCCTGGGCCTCATGCATGCAAGTCAAGCACTCTACCACTGAGCCACCTTCCCAGCCCCTGGCATAGCTTCTTTGAAGGGCCAAGTCTGGGAGCTTGCTGCACTCTTCCTAACAGTAGGATTAAGATATGATCCTACTCAGACCTCTCATTTGCTTCCTAGAAGAATGGCTAGAACAAGATGGAAGAAGGGTTACACCTACTTGAGTGAAAGCCAGAGCACCACAACTTAAAGAGTTTCCTGGGCTCCAAGGTAACACATTGCTCCTAAGGAAGAGCATACCAGAGTGAAAGTACATTAGTCACTAAAGCTTTCAGAAGACTCTGCTTCTCTCATTTCCACATACCCAACTACAGGGTTTAAAAAGCAACTAAACAGTAGCCAGTCACGATGGCTCACTCCTATAATGCCTGCTACTCAGAGTTGGCGGTAGAGATCATAATCTGAAGTCAGACACAGGCAAACACACAAGATCCTATCTGAAAATAACTAAAAGCAAAAAAGGGCTGGGGGTGTGGCTAAAGTGGTAAAGCACTTGCCTGGTGAACATAAGGACTTGAGTTCAAACCACAATCACACACACACACACACACACACACACACACACACACACACACACAAACAAACAACAACCAAAAAGAACAAGAAGAAAGAGAAAAAGAAAAAGAAAAAAGTTAGCCAAACAAAACAAAACTCTTCTGGAAGCTCAGATGCTGAGGCAAACAAATGAACAAAGAAAATGTTAAATATGTCAAGTTATATTAAGTACTAAGAAGAAAACAAAACCAAACCAAACAGGAGAAGAGGATAAGAGTGTGGTAAGGGTTACTCTTTCTAGATAGAGTGGTTAGGAAAGGCCTGCCTCTTGAAGGGGATGACATGAGATTAAAGCCAGGCAGCCACACTATCAGGAGGGAAATGGTCAAACAGAGAGAACTTCAGGAACTGGCTATTTCCAGTAACAGAAATAGAATCAGTGTGGTTTAAATGTGAAGAGCAGGAAAATGTAGAGTGACAGATTCAAATTCACATTTTAAAATGTCTACTTTTTTCCTCTAAGAGGTAGGGGAATGGAGGTGAGAACCACTTAGGATGGACTAGAGTTGCAATGGTGGGTGGTACAGGCCAGGGTGACAGAAGTGCACATGATGCACATGGTGCACATTTCAGAGGAAGTAGGGTGGGGCTTACAGATTGGACTGGTTTTATGAGAAATTGTAAGTTTTTTTTATTAAAAGGGATTAAAATATTTTACAGGAGACCTAAAAATATATTTCTTTGGCATACTGAGTTATTAAAAGAAACTACAGATCTGCACAGCAACCTTTTGGTAACAGAAATTTGCCACAATCCCATATGAGGTCAACAGCTAACCTCTGATGTTTTTCATCTGCCTCATCTTCTTTTTGTGACACTTTTTTAAAAAGTAATTTTGCTATTATTAAGGTGTTGTATACAGATGTTACCATTTCATAAGTCCTGTGATACTTTTATTTTGAGACTTTCATGGACTTGTACATGATGAAATGTCTATACCTTTTCTTTTAAAAAATCTACATCAAATTATTCCAGAGACTAAATTAAGGAACCTTAAAAACAGAGGTAAATATTAAATTTCACTCTCTTCTAGATATCACCTTAGTACAGAAATGAAACCAACGTTCTTCATGACTCAAAATCCAGATATCATAACAAAAAAAGCAATATAAAGTCAACCATAAGATAATACAAAGTTTCTTTGTACACATCAGATAATAGTTAAAAAAAAAAACTACCACCAGAGACAAGAGAAATGACAAGCTGGGAAAACAAAAGAATTTCTAAAAATTGAAAATGAACTAAAGGCATAAAAGACAAAAAAAAAAAAAAAACACTTCACTGAGCATTACAAGCTATGTGTGTCTGTGTGTACATGCGTGTGTGCTGGTCCTGGGGCTTGAAGGCAGGGTCTGGGTGTTATCCTGAGCTTTTTTGCTCAAGGCTACAACTTGAGCCACAGCTCCACTTCTAGATTTTGGGTGGCTAATTGGGGTAAGAGATCCATGGGCTTTCCTGACTTGGCTGGCTTTGAACCACAATCCTCTTATCTTATCTCAGCCTTCTGAGTAGCTAAGATCAGTGAACTGCCAGCAGCAGGCTTGAATTACAAGCTTTTACACATGGAAAATAAGTTCAAACTCTCTCAAAAGAGAAATCTACCTTATCGAAGTACAACTCTCTAAATGTATCTTATTGGGAAAGAAAAATGTGAGAGGAGCAAGAAAGTAGGTAACAGGAAGCAGGTACTCACATCTTTCTTACAGGCAGGCGTACATTCAATACCTGCCACTCCATCTTCACCTGAATCAAAATTTTGACAGGATACCTGAAACTGTAGAACTATAATATTGTGTCCTTTATATATTGCTTTTTCTGATACATACATAAGTATAATTAAACTTAGTTTGTAAATCAGGCAAAGAAACAGATTAATATGAATAATAATAAAATAGCACAAATGAAGACTTTTGGGGGATGGTATCCTTTCTCCCAAATCAACTTCTTCAACTCTTTTGAAAACATGGCAGAACAACTTCTGTCTCAGTAGACACGGTCTCTTGAGTAATTCAATATTTTTTCAAACTAAGTTATTGCTGGATCGCTCTAGCCATCCCTTAGTTGTGCGAATGGCTTGGTAAGACTTACCGAAGTCTTTGTTATATAGGCTCCTTGCTCTCTGGTACAATTTATGGCTGACAGAACACATCTTCTGTTCTGTGTTTCATCTCCAAATTTAATGTCTTTTATATCTTAAGCACTTACCATATATTATGGCAATAACATTTGCAGTTTGTAAGTATGACAGCAAAATTTTCTTTTTCCTTCCTCACAATTTCATGGAAAAGATAAGAGAGGTTCTTATCATAGATCTTAGCAATTGCACTATGAATTTCATTCATTTGTTCTTAAGTCAAACACGTGCACCTTTTCACCACTACAAGGAAGCATAATTTTGTATTCTCTTTGGCATATCTGAATTGCCAGCATCACATTCTTGTGCTTTGGAATCATTATTTAGGAAATTAAGGCGTATGTACACAAGGCACTATAGAATACCACTAAGTCAGTAGGCGGGATACTAAGTAACTTGGCCATGGTACACAGAGTCAAGAGTCATTTCCCTAAACTGCAAAGAGCAGGAAGGTACAAGATTTCATCAGGCTACACAGAATAGTGTCTAAGTTATTTTTTTCATTTAAATTTTATTTTAAAGGTGATATACAGAAGAGTTACAGTTACATAAGTCAGGTAATGAGTACATTCCTTTTTTTAACAATGTCACCCCCTCTCCCTCATTTTCTCCCAGTTTTTCTCCTCCTGACCCCCCTCCCAAGTTGTATAGTTCATTCCAACCATGTCTACTGAGTACCACTGCTGAATTGGTTCACTCTTTGTCCCACCATTTCTGTGCTTCCCCTTTTTCTCCCCAAATCAAATAAATTTATATACAAGACAAAGTTTTTAGAAATCAAACAGTGACCAAAGGGAATAAACAGAAGGAAGAAAATAACTGCAACACATTATCCTGTCCATGCAATTGTAACCCCTCTGTACAGTATGTTCACAAATAAAATAAAATTAAATAAAAAAAATCTAAAAACAAAAAAAAAAGAAAATAACTGCAAACAGGACCATTAAGAAAAACTTGATTTCCATTTCTTAGAACTCATTTCAATAAGCCTCATTTTATGTGACCACTTGATTTCCATTTCTTAGAACTCATTTCAATAAGCCTCATTTTATGTGACCATATGCACACAACTATTAGCTTTTGCGATCCTCTCCTGAGAGGATCCACTGTGGTTCCACTGTGTGACTGTTTAAAGTGCTGTATAATTAATCATGTCCAAGTGTAATTATTTGTCTTTTACTATCCATTGGACTTACTTGTAGATTTATAGGCACATTTCTAATGATTACAAATGAGGGAAACCATGAAACCTAAGTATGTTTCTTTGGGTCTGGCTTACTTCACTTAGTATAATTTTTTCCAAGTCTTTCCATTTCCTTACAAATGTCACAATGTCATTCTTTCTGATGGAAGCCTAAAATTCAATTGTGTATATATACATTTTCTTGATCCACTCATCCATTGAGGGGCATCTAGGTTGATTCTAGATCTTAGCTATGGTCAACTGTACTGCAATGAACATGGTTGGGCTGTTGGCTTCAGTGCAGCCTGGTTTGTGGTCATGTGGGTGAATACCCAGGAGTGGGATGGCTAGGCCATAGGGAAGGAAGCCTTATGTTTAGTCTCATCCAATTTAAAACTGAAGAAATTTCTGGAATTTTCCACTTAAAATATTCAGACCACAGATGAATGTAGGTAACTGAAACAGTGGGTAAGGGGATAACTGTAAACCTACTTTGGGAAATCTAGAAATCAGATACACCTGTGTATATGCCAAATACCATATGCACAATATTTTTACTGGAACACTATTTGTAATAGCAAAAGACAAATCAACAGCCCAAATGCTGTATGAATTTGTAAAACTTAAAAAAATGTGTTTATGTATTTATTTCTAAGGATATTGTTAGGCAAAAAAATGCCATGTTTCTCTGCTACATTTGATGTGAGATAAAGGCAGGAAATGTACACACACCTACACAAACATAGATAGACTACAAAAATATATTTTCAAAAACGAACACTTGAAAAACTAGAAGGTTGGTTATATAGGATGGAACGAGAATAGATAGGTATAAAAAGTTCCTGGGGAATACTTTTCTAAACCTACTTCTAAATTTGAATCTCTCATGCCTCCTTACATCAGGATAAATCCCTATAAGGTCAGAACCTTTCTCCCAAAAATGGGTGATACAAGTTTGCTCAAAATAAACAGATCATGCTCTCTACATCAACTACATCCTAGGAAAATAGCTAACACCAGCTAAAACTTCACAGTCAGTTCATTGGAACAAATTAGCTTTAAAAAAAAAATCAAAATAGATCTGGCAGATTGCCGTTCTAAACCAAAGTTGGGCTCCCTTTAAATGAGGGGTGGAGTCCCAAAAGAGAATGCCTTCCTTGTTGGACTGATTGAAGACAATCTAAAAGACTTAAACAAATGTTTGTTTTGACTACATTAGTTCTCAGATCCCCAAGAGATGTTTAACACACACACCTACACCTACACACACACACACACACACACACACACACACGCGCGCGCGAGCGCGCGCCCACCTTTTACTTCCTACCACACATGATTAAACCATTTTGAATGCTTTTAAATCACAGGCTGGGTCAGTCACCTAAGTTATAAAACAAACGTGGAACTTTTAAAAATTGTGCTGAAGGGCTGGGAAGGTGGCTCAGTGGTAGAGCGCTCGCCTTGAGCTGAAGAGCTGAGGGACAGCGCCCAGGCCAGGAGTTCAAGCCTCACGACCGACGAAAAACAAAAAAGGTGAGGAAAATGGCAGGAATGATCCGACAATAAGCAAACCTTTTTTTCTCTCACACCCTCGATGGGTGTGAGAGCGGGGTGAATTCTCGCTCCGATGGGGTCAGCATTTTTGATTTACTTTTCTATTTTTCGTTATGCCGAAATCGCACCGGGGTGGCGCTTTCCTGCCACCGAGGCGTCTGTCCAGACCTGGGTCCTCACGGACGAGCGACAAGAGCTCTCGGCCTCACACCTCGTCCCGTCCCCCCACGGTCACAGGGCAGCCAGGTGGGCGGGCGACGGCGGGGTGTCCTCAGGAGCGGCACCCACCACACGAATGGCTCCGGAAGCGGCCCGGGCTAGGGAGCGGTGGGCCGGGCTGCCACAAACCCAAAGCCGGGGGTGGAGCGGGGGTGAAGGAGGTGGGGAAGGCCGGGGGACGCTGGGAGCTGAGCCCAGCACACAACCTGTGGGACGCTGGGCCCGCGGCGGAGGGCGACGCCATCGCATCGCTCCCACCCCTCCAGAAGGACTTACTGAAATACATTTTCCGGGTTGTCCATGGCGAGGAGGATGCGGGGACGGCAGCAGGCCCAGCTGCTGCGTGAAGACTATTCGAATCTCCCGCGCAGCCGCAGACTCTGCGCCGAACGTTGGCGAGACGTCTGGCTATTGGACACACTGCAGACGGGCTGGCCAATCGCTGGGCCGTTGCCGGGAGACCAGGTCCCGCCTTCCCTCTCCTGGAAGGTCCTCCCACTTGCTCTTGGCTAGGATAGAACCGAAACCGGGCCACCTCTGAGGTAAGGTGTGGAAGTGCGAGCGTCCGTGCCGCCAGGGGGCGCGAACCTTGGTTCCGTCGTAGGGATTAAAAACTCTCCAAAGTGCAATGGATTTGCACAATCCCAGGATTAACATTTTGTCCTGGGAAGATATCTGGAGACGGCCTTTGGTCCTCAGAGCGGCGTCCTCTGCGTGCCGTTTGCAGTCGCTGTGTCTGGTTCACAGAGAGATGTAAAAGAATCCAGACGGTCCAGTCTGTCAAGCCAGGGGAGATGCTGGAGTATCCTTTAGGAAGATAGGCCAGGGAGAAGGTGGCTAAGCGGGGACAACTAGCTCCTCAGGAGGCTGAGGTCCAAGGTTTGTTCGAAGACAACCAGGGCAGGAGCTTCCCTGTAAAGGAAAGGGGCTGGGACTCTCACAGACTTAGGGACTTGATGTCATTGATCTGACAGCATGTGTGTGTGCGCGTGCTTGTGTATGTGTGTGTGTGTGTGTGTGTGTGTGTGTGTCTTGGAGTGATGAGTTTGGGCAGGTAAAGGAATATGTGAAAGTTCAACATATTTTGTAGGACGAGGCACTCTGGAGACCAAACTCTTAGGAATTATAAATCCTTTAATTAGGGACAAAAATCCTTTAATTAGGGACATGAACATCTAAAGAAGAAATGTGTAATGTGTTTAAGTGTGCTAACAGTGAGTTGAAAAGGAATTCAACTTCAATCAAGTAGTCTCTGCTCCTTGGATTTTAATAACTTCTCATTCTAGCTCTCAAGGTTGTCCTAAGGGCCTCTGGAGAATGCAAGTAAATGGTGAAGAGCTCTTTGTGACTACTTTCCCTTTTGAAAGAGGTCCTGATGATGTGGCTCCTAGACCTCTAAAATTCTTAAATACCTTATTAAATCCTCATGCTCTCAGAGTCCAGAATTTCTCTGGCATGTTGACCATTGTGTGTGTGTGTGTGTGTGTGTGAGTGTGTGCACGCGCACGTGTGTGAGTGCATGCACGCGCACGTGCGTGAGTGCATGCACACCTGTGTTCGTGCACACTGCTCCTGAGGCTTGAACTCAGGGCCTGAGTGCTGTCCCTTAGTTTTTTATCTCAACTGTCCCTTATTTTTTTCGTTTAAGACTGGCCCTCTACCACTTGAGCCACACCCCACTTCCAACTTTTTCCTGGTTAATTGGAGGTCAGAATTCATGGACTTTTGCTGCCTGGGCTAGCTTTGCCCCAGAGACACTAAGATCTCAGCCCCCTGAGTAGCTAGAATTATAATTGTAAGCCACTGGCACCCATAATAGTGATCAGTTTGGATCCACACAAGTATCTTATTTGTGAACCTTATGCAGACAGTGATCATTCTGGGATCTTTAGAGAAGTGCTAGGTTCTACTGTCATCAGAATTAAAATGTTTCAATTAAGAATGAATTAGGAAATCTTGGCATTGCATTTGTCCAGAGCTACATGCTATTGGATTTAAACCCAGTTACATCCTTGCATTTGTCTTTAAGAAGCAGCGGTTTTATCATAGACATTCGTTTAAATATGATAACTATGTTTTTCAGGAGCTTTTTGAAAAGAAGTTTCATGTGCTGTTTCCTAAGGCTAGAATAATTCTCCCACCACCACACTCTACAGAAATATTTTATTATCTTTATATAACAGGAATGACATTTTGATGAAGAAATTCTGAACCCCCTGAAACACTGGCAATGTACAGAGATCAGTATAAACAGAAGACACTAGGGGCAGGCAAATGGGTCGCTCTGTTTTATAAAATCTCATTGTTTGGAAACTTTTGCCATTGGCAAACATTTGAACTTTAATCTATTCTAACCATTGTTTTCTTTTGCCTTTTTTCTCAGGCCTGCGTTGAGAGTACAGCAGTTCCACAGAACTTCTGAGCCCATTAGGTAATAAGTGTCACTTCAGTAGCCCTTTTCTCCCTTTCATTTCTGGCATTGTTGTTGCTTCGTTTGCCAGAGGATAAGGGGGAATTTGGTGTGATCTGCGTGAGGTCAGCTTATCAGCTATGTCTATGAAATGCCCTCAGTGTGTTAGATGCAGAACCATATGCCTAGAATTCTCTCTTTCTGCCAAACTACTTTCTAGGCTAACTTCAGTCATCAATTTGCATATAATGAAAATGACTCTAATAAATATGTCACTTATTATAAGGGTAAATAAGTATTTTTACTTGTATATAGGCTTTCAGTGTCCTGCCATTCCAACACTGTATTTTCTAAATGTACTAGAAGAACTAAACTAGGCCATTATAGGGTAATTAACTTCAACCTTGACTTTTCTAAGAGGTAGCAAGTGACCTAAACTCTAGTGTGACAGTTTCTTGATCTGAAAAAAGAAGTCTGCTTATCTTAAAAAAATGTCTCTGGCTTTATTCTTTAGCGTTATACAATTTGTGACTTAATTCTTGATCAGTCTTGGTGTGTCACATGATGTCTAAGATTGTATAAGATTTAGAAGAGGACACTGTTGCTTTTCTCTATGTTTGCTGATGTGAGATAAGCAAATAACTGTAGGTACACTTTTCCCTGGGAAATATTCAACCATTTAAAGTAGCAGTAGTAGATGCATGACTTGTACATTGTGCACAAAACATCATAGAAGATTGAAAATTTACAATTAGAATAGTTACAAAAAATGAAGAAAACTGATGAATGATTTAGGGGACTACCAATTATTCTGATACTCTTTAGGGTGTTCTGTGAAATCTTAATCAACTAGCCATTTTGGGTTAATCCATATTTATTTGTTCCAATCGTCTTGAACAATATAAAACTAGGGTTATAGTCTCTTATGAGGAAAATAGTCATCTCTCAAATATTTCTGGTGGCGTTGACAATTGCTATAGCTACTTTAGAAAGTGTTTGACAATATCCATGAACAGAAAACAAGAACAGACCTAGCTCTTCTATTCCAGGAACATAATCCAATGAATGAAGCACATTTCTGGGTAGGGGAGGTGTTTGAGTATTTTAGACTGCCAGAAAACCATGCAGACATCCAGATACAGAGAACAAAGAAAGGTTTATTGCCAGGAAAGGGGCCGGCAAGATCCCCTCTCACAAGGGAGAAGTGAGAAGAAGAAGCACCGGCTATTATCTGAGGTGACCTATGGAACTTGGGTGGTTTAGGAGGGGCTAGAAGGGGCTAGGAGACAGAGACTGTGGTGTGGAAGTGAGGGCCAAGGACTTCATCATGGCAGACTAGGATTTATGGCTTCTGGCAAGTAGTAGATAAGGGACCCTGCAGCTGCCCAGACCTGAAGGACACACTAAGGGGCTCTTCTTGCCTTCTATGGTGGTAGCTGCCTCAGAGAAGTGCATCCCAAGGTAACAGGGGTGGTTGGAGGCTGATTATTTACTGCCTTTACTACATGGGCCTAATGTTGCCTAGGAAGGGAACATGATAAGCTGTGGAGAGGGGAAGGAATATACTAAGCTATGGGAAGGGAGCTCATTGGGCTAACAGTAGGATGATTGGCTTTGCTGTGCAGTGGCCTATAATGAAACCAACATTTGTTTAAGAAAAAACATTGTAAGTTGTGAAGCAGTCTTACTGGGAGATGCATTATACCATTAGAAAAGTTGAGCCTGGTCTATTAGAGTGACTCATAGGTTCTGCACTTAGATTCCAGATGAAAAGCAAGCAGCCAAGGTGAAAATATAATCCCTATATTGGAATATGAAGGTGAAAGATTCATGCTTTTAACATCAGTTATACATCAGTTATTTGAGAGATGATACAGGTGGGTAAAAAGGGAAGTACAAAAATAGGAAGGAGAGCCGAAAATATCATTAGTTATTAACTTTTTACTAAATGCATTATTAAAGGGAAGCAGGAGGGCTGGGAAGGTGGCTCAGTGGTAGAGCGCTTGCCTTGCATGTCAGAGGCCCTGGATTCGATTCCTCAGCACCACATAAGCAAAAAGAAAAAAGCTGGAAGTAGCACTGTTACTCAAATGTTAGAGCACTAATCTTGAGCTGAAGAGCTGAGGGACAGCATCCAGGCTCAGAGTTCAGGCCTACAATCGGACCCAAAGGAAAAAAAAAAGAGAGAGAAGCAGGAAGGGCCAGGTATCCGTGGCTCCTTCCTACAATCCTAGTTACTTAGGAGGCTGAGATCTAAGGATCTTGATTCAAAGCCAGTAGAGAACCAGTTTTGAGTGGAAAAAGCTGAGTGAAAGTAGGAGACCTGAGTTCAAGCCCAAGCACCAAGAAGTGTGGTTTAGTGAAGAAAAGTGCTGCAAAAAAGGTCCTAAAACAAACAAGAGAATATCCAGGTAGAACCTTGGCAGCAGAGAATGTAGTGAAGCTAAGGAAGAGTTTAGGAGGAACTATCACCATTTTTTTCAGAAAGAACTGGGGTCTTGATGTTGAACTTATCTACTCTGTTTCCTTTATGCGTATCTGTGTTTATGTTTGTAAAGCAGCCTGTATAAGTCAGGAAAAATCTGTCACAGTGGAATCCTTTTGTAGTTCAACCCCTATTATACTTTGCCTCTCTTCATTGCTTCCCTCTTTCCAAGTTCAGGTGGCTATTCCTAAGCCAGGACAGTGGCCCAGGAAGAGAATATCCTCTGCCTTCCTATACCAATGTGTGGACCCATTGATGCCTCAAATGTGTATCTTTACTCATTTCAGGAAATATGTGGTTTAGATAGAACTAGAAGACAAAATTCCAGTCCAAGAAGCTGCCAAGAAGCCCAGACTATAGAAAAAGGGGAAAATTTTAATTGTGCATGACAGGTCATAGAACCAAGAACTAGAAATGTACATTACTTAAATGGAAGCAAAAGCATTTTGGGAAGCAAGTCAAGAAGAGC